ATGTGTTGAGGAATTATATACTTCGAGAAAGTGTTTCATTGTTTCTTCGGTAAAGTCTCGCTCTTGATTTAAATCTCTGAGAGTCCTTATGAAGCGGTTTATGATGCCGAGTATGTTATGGTTATGGTCTTCAGTAGTGTAGTGAGTTATGTTATGCTTAATGAGAAAATCTGTGATTTCATTGCTGAGGTATGCACTGTCTTGGTCTGATGTTAAAGTACTTGGGCTATGTTCTGCTACAAACTTTTGTAAAACTCTTAACACTTCACGAGTTCCTTTATTCATCATTATATACGCAAAAGCTTTGCGAGTGTTAACATTAATGAAGATGAGGAATGGTTTATGTCCTCCTTTTCTGCTTTGAATGAGAGTGTCAAATTGGTATGCGTCAGGAGTGTTGGAGTAAATTGGTAAAAAGTAGTCGTAAGGGTTTATTTTTGTTTGATGTACAACATTTTTGTCAAAGAACTTTTTAACTTCAGCTCTGTTAGTAAATCCCCAACTTTTTGCTGCTTCATTGAACTTCTTAAATGACCTCCATGGATGTTGTTCGAATACTTCTTTCAAGCTCATTTATGTAAAGTTAAAGATTTTATTCTAGGCTCAAGCGCGTTCATTGAACGCGGTACCATGCGAATACAGTCACAAATGGTGGCATATAATCTGCACCCGAGCCTGTTGGATTTGTTGTGAAAGTGTGTGAATGATTACCTGTGGTTCCACAGAAAATACCTGTGCTTGAATCTACTGGGTCACTTGAAATATCATATCTATTCATTCCCTGTCTATCCGAACCTGCTGCAAGATTTGTATAACCTCTTTTTGTTATTGAATGTGAATGGTTTCCTGTTGTGTTTGTAGTTCCTGTATGAGTGTGCGGTGGAAGGTTTGCTTCTTTAATTTTCTTCGAACCTCCTGTTTGCTTTGAATATCTAGCACAGTATAAGAATTTATCTACAATCTGCTTCCACGTACCAAAACCCAGAACTGTTTCTGGATTTGTTGAGTTCATTGACGTATAAATAGAGCCTATAGGATATAATGTTTGAAGTATTTCTGTCTTTAATGTTTGAAGCTCTGTTTTGTCTGCTTTTTTATCTAACATTGCTGGTAGTTCATGTGTTTCAAAGTTTCTGACATGACCTTCGATATTCCTGCAACTGTTATCTAAATTGTTAAGAGTATCTTTTACGCTTGTACTTGGATTTTCTAATGGTGCACTTGAACCAAGGGTATAGTTCAATATTATGTCGTCTGCTCTAACAGTAGTGAAGGATTTATGTGTATGATTCTTGTCAGCTTTATTATCATATAAATCTTGAGCAGTGAATTTAACATTATTTTCATCGTCCATGACATAAACATTTTTACAGCTAATTTCTTTCTTCGTTGTTATGTTTTCATTCGATGTTAAACCTTGTGGAAAGTTAGGAGGTTTATAATATAATGCATCCCCACCAGTTCCGCCAACCGTTCCTTCAATACTTTCTATAGCAACAGTTGAGAAGGAGTTATGTGTATGTTCTTTATCTGCTTTTTTATCTAACATTGCTGGTAGTTCATGTGTTTCAAAGTTTCTGACATGACCTTCAATGTTCATACATTTACTATTTAAGGAGTTTAGTGTATCTTTTACGCTTGTACTTGGATTCTCTAAAGGTGCACTTGAACCAAGGGTATAGTTCAATATTATGTCGTCTGCTCTAACAGTAGTGAAGGATTTATGTGTATGGTTCTTGTCGGCTTTACTGTCTAATGTAGCTTGAAGTTCATTTATATCGGAGATGTTGTGTTTATGAGATTTCAAAACTTTGTTCATTGCTTCGAGTTCAACTTTGTCAGCTTTACTTTTAATAGCATCTTCAAACGTTATTTTTGACTTAACTCTCAAAGTAAATCTTGGTTCAACTAATACACCTTTAACAGAGAAAGTAGAGGCATAAATTTCATCGTTATAACTAAATGCTTCTGGTGCTTTACCCGTGTCATACTGTACAGTACAGCTTATGTCATAACCTTTAGCACGAATGTATTTATATCTTCTTTCATTGGGTCTTCCGTCTTCACTTCATCACTTCGTGTTAAATATCCATGGTAGTCCGTTATAATCTGTTCGTCTGAAGTTATATAATGAACGTGGTTCTTGACTTTATCACTCAGAGCTAAAAGCTCATTTTTGTCTGCTTTTTCGGCTAATTTCTCATTAACATCATTCACTTCTAATTCAACTCTTCCGCCAGAACTCTTATTATCATTAATCTTTTTCATTAATTCGGTAATTACGTCATAAAGACTATATTCTGTTTTCGGTTTTGTAAATAATGAGTCAAAATTTCTTTTCATCATTACATCGCTGACATTAATGATATCACCAATTCCTTTTTCATTTATTCTCTTCATTAATTCTGCAATAATGACGAATATATAATCTGTTAATTTATTCTCTTCATCGAGGGTTATAGAATGTTTTGAAATTGAATCATTAACTCCTCTAAATAAATCAATAACTTCAGGATACACGTTTTTAATGTCTCGAATAACCCGACCAGTATCCTGTTGTTCATGTTCTTCGTTCCCGTCGTTACGTGGTTTTATATCTCTAACCATCATCAACGCAGCCATAACCGGAGGGTTTGTTGCTACCTGTTCGAAAATCTGACCGTTATGTATGGTATATCTAAATAATTTCTTTGTGTTTGTTAAAACATTTGAAACAAGTCTTTTAAAACCATCTACAAAATTTCCTGTTTCACCTAATGTTCTTGCAGCATTTACAAGCTCACCCATTCCCGCTTTTGACCCCAAAAACGTCCATATTGCATTTATTTCACTCTGTATAGTTGTCCATTCAGCGAAACTAACACCCGCATTCGCTAAGCTGAAAATGAAATTCAGTGGATCGAACTTAATTCCACCTTCTTTTTCAATTTCAACGAACTCACTAACATGAGATTTTAAGTATTCTTTCGTTAAAATTGTTTTCCCCGATGTTATGTCATTAACGAAACTATCACCGTCAAAAGTTAACGAATTCAATTTCGTCGTTGATGCTTTTATTTCATACACCGCTTTATTGATAGTTTTTGGCTCACCTTCTTTAGAAGCATATGAAACATTAATGAATGAATTATATGTATTCGTGAATGAATTAAAATCAATGATTTTCATTAATGACGTCTTTAATGATTCATTTACTGTCGAATCCCTTAAAGTAATTAATGAACTGTCATTTATGAAAGGTACACTGCAAACCGTCGAGTTTGGATCAAATGCTGTAGTTGGTGCAGGAATATTAATGATATAAGTCATTAAATCATTAAGTGACGTAAATAATGTTGTCGTTTTTGATTTAATTTCTTTAGCATCTGTTATATATGGTAATTTTATTTCTGTAGTTTCTGAATTAAAGATATTCGCTAAAATGTTTTGTAAACTGTTTTGAACAGCTGTGTAAACCGTTGAATTCGGAACTCTTACGATTTCACCGTCCTTAATAAAAGGCATTGCACATGGTGTAGTGCTTGGGTCAAATCTTTCGGGATTATAATTCAACATATATTCTAACGCTTCATGAACAGACCTATATACGGTTGTATTATCTTTTTCAATAATTTCACCGTCCTTTATAAACGGCATAGTACATGGAGTTAAAATAGGGTCAAACTTTTCATAGTCCTTCCATGTTATGTATTTCTCGGTATTTCCATCACTGATAACAATATATTTGTCAGTAAGTGTGAGAGAGTATTGACCAAAATATAAACGTTTAGCTCTGTCAGCTTCATACGCATATGCAGCTATACTCATATTTTAATGAGAATAAAATGTTGTTCTATTTGCAAAGTACAGACCCAAACGAATACGGGACAGTAAAGCTACAAACAAACTTAGGTCTACAGAATGAGGCGCTTGCATTCAGAATGGTTGACTTCAATACTATCGCTTCATTCGTTATAACAGATGAAACAGATTTCATGGTGATTGAAATAGATGGAAAGAAGCACGAAATAAGATTTCACAATAATGTAGAATATAAGATGGAAACATTAGCTGGAGTGTTAAATGCTCTCATAAATACTACAATAAACAAGGATAACGAAGAAAACTTAATGAATGTTAAACTTATTGCAGGAGTTTTGAAGTTCAGTTATGCGAAGGAGTTTAAGATACCAAGAATGAGTCATAGAGTACAACTTCTTTTGGGAGCATACCATATGACATTTCCTTTGAAAAGTGTTGACAAAACGATTGAGATGAAATCTGTTCCATACGTATGTTATGGCAATTGTTTGTACATTGAGTCAAAAATAGCTAATGTCACAGGTATTTCAGGAGTTAATAGTAAAGGTTCAGTAGAATATAAATCCTTCTGTTATGCAGTCAATTCAATGTTCATTCCAAACGTTCCTGTCATAGCAACTCATTTAGGTAAATGGGTTCGCATTAGTCCTCATAATTTGAAAGACATGCAATTCAGACTTGTTGACTTTCAAGGAGAGCCTGTAGAACTGAAGGCACCAGTGCGAATGACTGTTGAAGTTGACTTTTTAGAAAATATTAAATGCAACAGCTTACAAGAGAACTCAGAGCTAAAAATATAAAGTATGAATGTTATGTATTAGGTCATGAACTTTGGTTGTTGCTGTTTGATGAAACAAATGAGTTAGTTATGTCAGTCAAGAGAACAGAAAAATATTGTGTTAGTGAAAACTGCACCAAGTCAATAAGATTAGGTTTGCATTATGAAGATGAATTCGATACTGTTGAAGAAGTTTTGGATAGATACTATAAGTTGCTTTAATTTACTAAAACATATTTCAAACAAAGTTTATATTCTGTTGAAAGTTTTGTATATTCATTCGAATATTTATACTTAAACTCAACTCCTGTAGTTCCTGGTGTTTCAATGATGCGGATGTTACCTATTTTCATGAATAGTGGAGTTTGACCACAGCATTCAATTTCAGGGTCGAGATAGTCAATGACACATTGTTTCCCTGTTATTCGTGATATAACATTTCAAGGTCCTCCTTTGTTAGAATTATTTGGTTCTTACTTATAAGATTTATCAAAAGCTTCTTATCGTCTTTGAGTAAAATTGTTTGGTATAACTGAAGAAGGTAATGGTCTACGTTATCTGAAGGATTTGTTTGAACATTTGTGTAAGGGTTGTCGTTGGCTTCTCTTGAAAGAATTTGGTCCAGTGGTGGATACTCTAACTTAATATCTGATGTAGCGTTAGCGTTTGAAGCTGAGTTTAAATTCACGGATTTCAGCTCTGGTTCTTTTTCTTTCAAACACTCCGAACTATAGTTCTTTATGACAATATTGTTTGTCGTTCGTGAGTCAACATTTGATGTTGGTTCAATTGGAACATTAACGGCACCAGCTAAGATGGATTTGCTTCTCATTTCATATAGAATAAAAACCTTTTATATGTATGAAATGAACAATATACTCGACAAGGGTTTGAATGTAAAGCTAACGAATGAAAATATTGTTGAATTCACTGAGACAGGAGCTGTGTATAAAGATGTAGAACTACTGAACAAAAGAGCAAAGGGAAGAAGCAGGAACATGAACAAAGGGTGGAAGCCTATAAAAATTTATGTCAATGATGGCTCAGGAGGTTCAAACATAAAGTATGCAGAAAGTTATAGAGTTTATGCTCTCAAAGGTGAAAAGCCTTCATTTAAGAACAGCTATTCTAACGCATATCCTCAAAAGCTAACGGATGGGGAAGTGGATGATATGAATGACAGCAAAAATATTAACAGAAATGGCGACAGAGATGCATGGAATTTGTTTACCATCAGTCAATTGAAGGTTAAACTTTAAAACAATGTTGGTCGTTCCCATGGAATATTTTTGACTTTAATGGTATTAGTCATGATATGAATCTCAAGGTATGAACGAGGAGAGATGAGAGACTTATATGCTTCCCAAATTTCTTCAAAAGGTAATGTTATACCTGACTGTTTCCAAATGAGTTCAATATCATAACGTGAGAAACCTTGAAAGATAACGAAGTCAGTTATGAGACGTTTTATGTTTAAAGCAAGAAAACGCCATGTTTGCATAAGTATTGCTACAGTTAAATGGTAATGTCTGACTTTAGTTATGATGTTAGCTAATGGTGAGTCTGGTTTTGACACTAAACCTTTTCCGGCGAAGTCGTCACAAACGAGCAGAGTGTTTGAAGGATACTTTTTGAAGGGGTATTTTGAAAGTTTTGATAGAATGTAGTTTGTCAGTCGTTTCATATCGTAAACTCCTGAGTACTGACGTAAGTGGTGTTTGTCAATAATTCTTTCCATCTCTTCTGAAGTCTTTTGCATTCCTGACTGTATGAACTCTACGATGACATAATATTTCCTCTTACGTCGAATGTAACGTTGAAGAAATTCAATGAGTTCACTGTCTGGAACTTTAACGACAGAGGCTTGAACTTTTGACATAAATGTTTTCGCTGTTGAGTCCATAGAGTCTGAAGTTGCTGATATAATGATTTGGTCATAGTAAGAGTCGTTTCCTAAACGCTCTGTTATGAGTATATGACGAATGAGGTTAAATGTCTTACCTGAACCCATCTTTCCACAATAGAAATAAACACCATTTGAACAGAACTCATAGTCCTTACTGAAAGGAAGAATGAGAGAAGAGTTAAGTTTGTCTGTAGTTTCATTCATGTCTTCATCTACGTCATGTATTAAATGCTTCATTTTATCTCCATTAAAAATGCAAGTCAGAAATATTCAGAACATAGCACCGAGTCTAACTGACAAGAGTATAAAGATATACTATGAACACGTTATGATGAAACCTACCAAAATTCAAGAAAGTCAGTATACTTATGAATATCCAAGACACTGGGTAGAGTATGTAGGAGGTGAGAAAGCTATTGAAATCAGACAGGTTCGAAGTATTCCAGCAGGAAGGACAATATTATTGAAGAACTTTAATGTTTTGAGATATAATGATGAAACAAAGAAGCAAGATAGTTTCCCTGTTGCTGTGTATGTGAACTTAGATACAGGAGATGACATGAAAGTTTTTAACACAAAGCTTCAAACGGTATTGAAAGAACAACTTATAGCAGAAGGACATCCATTACCTTCAGAAGTTACCATAGCATATAATTTTGAAACAAACTCAATAGATTTTAAAGTCGTCTCTGCAAAGAAGTCAGGATTTACATTTAATGAAGCAGATGTATATTCGAATGAAAACTTCAAAGCTATTGCATGGTTAGATAATGACGATTGCTTTAAGAAAATCTTTAAATTCAGTGACTCAACGATGTCAATAGATGACCTTCGTGGAATGTTACCATCGACGTTTACAGTAGAAGGTTCAGCAGGATTGCTTACAAGATTGTCAATTGGTGGCATTTGGTCTCGTGAGAACATTGTTATAAAATCCAGTATAAGTGAATTTGCTGAAGAATCTATATTATGTCTTTCAAACTATATGTATTCGCCGCCAAAGCATTATAGTATAACAAACTTTGTCAGTAAGTTTAACATAAGACTTGTCGAACCTTCTTCAATGAAAGATGTTGTGCTACCTAAAGATGGAAAGGATGGACTCATTATTGAGATGATTTTAATAGCATATTAAATGAGCTTGTTCTTGAAGGTCATTCATGATGAAATAACTGTTGTAGAAGATGTTAGCAATTGTTCAGACATTTTGAAGCGTATAGATGATATAAGAAATAAGTTAGATAGACCGCAAAGCGGTGAGGGCGAAGCCCGTGAGAACGCTTATGTTTCATTGACTTTCTCCAGTAACGAGAACTTTTATGAGATAATATTGAAGAGAGATGATTTTAATATGGGGTAAATGGTAGCTTGGGCAGCTTTAGGCGCAATGGGAACAAAAGCATTAGCATTTGGAGCAAAAGCACTTGGAGCTTATGACGCAGTAAATAAAATGAGTGGAGGAAGAGTTTCGAAGACATTAGATGCAAATAAAGGAAAGATTGGAGGTTGGGTTGCAAAGAAGTTAAGATTAAATAAAATAGGGCTCATAAATAAAGCATCCAATTTGGTTGCGACTGAGTCAGAAAATGCTTTAGGAAAGGATGATGAGTTTGCAAAACATGCAAAAGACTTTAATGACCAGATGAAAGGTGAAACAATGCATTTAAATAGATTCGATGGAACTAAAGAAAATGTTTCTTCTCCACCAGCGGTTTATCCATACGGACCTTATGGAATGTATGGAAACCCTTACGAAAGACCATTTGACCCATTGACTGGTGGAAGTAACTGGTATCATTACGGCCGAAGAAGAAAGACAGTCAAGTTGGAGACAGACGTGAAGAAAGCAACTAAAAAGAAACCAAGGAAGAGAGTTATAAAGCAATGAATTCAACAGGGTTAGAAATGAGGTTAGAAAACGTGTTAGATCTAACATTCTAACATAAACATTATTTTTGTGCTATGTTTTCATACGTGTGAGGGTGGTGATATCATTAATTTTTAAGTTTATTTTTTATTTTATTTTTATATAAATGACGAAAACTATTGAGATAACAAACTACAACGGTCATGAGTTCAAGAATTTGTTCTTCGTTCCTCGTGAAAATACATTCTATCAGATACGAGGGAGAAAGGGTAAAGTTAGTTTGAGTGTTTATGAAGGAATGAGGAATGGAAAGTTTATACAAGCATACGATACAAACGGTAAGCGTGTTTCATTAGCTTTGTCAAAACTTACTAACATTTATTTTGACAGTGATTTTGACTCTGACGATTGGAGCGACAGCAGCGATACTGAAGAATATGAACTATTGTGTGAAGCACAGCAATGGGAGGAGTTGCAATACTTTTGTAAGTGAGAACGTTTATTTTTACATTAGTGAAGTCGTTTGTGAAAACGTTAGTGAAGTCGTTTGTGAAAACGTTAGTGAGGTGAAGTGGTTGGCGGCTTTGTAAATGTTTAAGGTTAAGTTAGTGTTGTCGTTTGTGTTGTAAAATATACGTTAACGGTTTCGTAAAGTGTCAAATTCACATAACAGGGGTACGGTGGAACGCAGTGCCGTCGTACACGACTTAGGTATACTAACTATATTTAAATAAACTTTATATATATGTAACTTGTTTATTTCTATTCGCAGTATTCAGGTTTGTGCTAAACACACCTTTGGACACCCTATATTACCGCATTAACTACTACTGAAGGTAATATAGAAGCATCTAAATATAACTTTATTGTTAATTATTATGCATATCTGTGCGATTTTTATCCTTTGTTATTTAATAATATGAATATAATCAACTATTGCAAGTGTTCAAACAAAGGATACTTCTGTAGAAATCATATTACTCGTATGTTTTTAGTTGTTTTGACATTAAAACGTTAAATATAAAAAATAGAAAAAAATAAATTCTACTTTATCATTTTAAGTTTAGAAAAAAAAACGTCTATTGGAAGTAATCAAGGAAGAATTTGAATTCATTCAAGACCCGCTTAAATAATGATTCCGGATTCTCAAGACGAAATTTTATTCATAATGTAACACATAAATGAGAATTTAGACTATTTTATAAAAGGAATGGATGTCTCAATTTTCTGAAATTAACATCAATCGCAGTGCTTTGATAAACACATTTAGAGACTCATATTTTCCCAAAGAAAAGTTTCATCCAGTTTTATATAAAATCTTGTTTTCAAAGCTGGATTTCCATGAATATTATAGGAAGGATACAACAGGACTCAAGGACTTGAATATTCTAATATCACAAATAATAGAAAGTCAGTAATTTCCTAAGAATTTTCTTGCTTTCTTAAGGAGTCACGAGCTTAGTTTACAACTATCCAAAATTTCTTACCTCACTTCCGATGCATAGCCATAATCCAACCCTGTTCTTAATAAAATAAACTTTTACTATCATACAGAACAATAACAAAATCAATTCGAAGTCCGAAATCATACCGAAAAGTGCGAATTGAACAGGCCCTTAATGGGACTTCATATCAATGATAATAGTTCTCAGCATGCAAAATTGTAGTATATATATCATTATCTTTCGTTCTGCCATATTCAGATAAAAACTCAAACAGTAAATATGGCACATATTTGTAAACATAAATAGTAACAATTTAGGTTCTGGAAATAAATATATGTGAATTTTGACAAACCACTGTTTTCTCCAAAAATAATATTTCAAAATTTAGAATTCTATTTTAATTCTATAGGGTGTCCAAAGGTGCGTTTAGCACAGCGCTCTATATGAGACTATTAAAGGAGATATATGCTGATTATAAATATATAATAAAAAATATGAATATATGTATATGATGAGTATGTTGTATTTTGGCGCCATGCAGGGATATAAAATGAATTTTGAGACAAGAGGCGGTTTCGCGGGAAATTTTGGCGGGATTTTTTTCATTTTTTTAA